CAGCCTCTAAATGATTGCATTTCTTATTTTAAATAATCAGTATAAAAAAGAAAAGTTGGATAAGAAAAAAAAACACTTGTGGTTTGAACCAATATATTTCTCGTAATATTGGAGCATAGTGGAGGGGCACCCTTGACCTACTAAAGTTATTCTGAAAGATGATCCTTTCTCCCATCTCAGAAAGTTGGGGGGTATGTGATTGTTCTTGTTTAGTTCAAAATGGGGAACAGTAATTCAATTCTAAACAAACACAATGTGGCTGATTATAGCAGCCCGGGCCTCGGGTGCCGGAATGGTTATTTATTGTACACCGTGCAGTGTGAACGCAACCTCCCCCATGCACAGCGGTACATCAACAGAGAGCTTAGCAATTCTGCGTTCTAATTTGTTGCACCTTTAACAAGCCGCGCATTGTGTAAGGAAAACTGCACAAGAACTACAAAACGACATGACAGTAATTACAGTAATTAGGTTTGAGGCCTGTCAATCACACACTGTATTGGTGACAGCTATTATATTCCTAAAAACAACACTACTGTTCGGCTGTCTTCTCCCACGTGATTCGCCAGATGAGAAAACAATAACAGCCCAATGTGTTTGGGGCCCCCACTGTTCCTGAATAAGACCCTTTCCTCTCCCGCACCTTCATGTGGGCTGTTTTAAGACTTTGTTAGAAAAAAGTAAAAGTGAACTATGTTTCTTTTTATAACTGGCTAGCTTTGAACTATTCCCAGCGGCTTCCAGTCCTAAAATAATCAAATAATGGAGTTTTTCCCCAGAAAAAAAAAAGAATTGATGGGCAGCTGTACAGTTAATCAAGAGGAAATCTTAGGGAAAGGCGGAGGAGAGGTAGATGGCATGCAGCTCTCTCGAGTGAAGGGCGGCATCCCAGGAACCATGTGCTTTGCTCACTCCTATCCCCGCTGGAGATGACAGGCTGGGAGTAGGCTCACCCAGGGGCGGACTGACCATTTGGAAACTCGGGCACTGCCAGAGGGACGGGGGTCAGTAGGGGGCCCCATGAGATGCCCCTGGTACCTTTTTCATAGGCTTTTTTGAGTCTGGGCAAGGACACAGGGGACCCATGATCCCCTATTGCCCGGGGGGCCCCATGAGTTGTCAGTCCGCCCCTGGGCTCACCTAAAGGGATGCCTTCTTTGATGTTGTGAAGGTAACAGTGATGGGACTGAAGGAAAGGAAATGGCTTGATCAGATGGAAAATTATACTTAGTAGGTGAAATGAGAAAGAAGCAGTTGAATCTGTGCAATTATTTGATTTGCCTATGTTGAAGTGGTTGTAAACCTCAGATATGAAATATGAACAACGCATATCCCTCTATAGTGTGTACTTGTTTCAATCCAGAGCACTAAGTGCCATTACTGTCTGCTGTTTTGTTCCTCTGCTATCAGCTTGAATCACTTCTGAAACGTTTTCATGACGCCAGGAGAAAAAGGTGACAGAGGAGCCTCAGCTCTGTTCCTGTGTGAAAGGGGGTGTGTGTTCCTTCCCTCCAATCAGCTCTCAGAGCTGTCCTCACTGAGCTCTGCAGTGTGTAATTTCAGCTCCCTGCCCCCCCTGCTTTCTGGAAATTCAGACAAGCTTTATAAATTCTGGACTCTAAACTGATGTGGAAAAGAGAAGACTACAGATAGACAGGTACAACTTATGTAGAAGGATTTGTTTCATCTCTGTGTATCCGGTCACTTCACTGAGTATACTGTATGTAAGAGTGTGCAATCTGGGGAATTAGAAAAAAATACCCTTGCAATGGGGCCCCTCACACTATTGGTAAATGGTCATTAAAGAAGAATTCCAGCTTTTGCAAAAAAAAAAAATAAATGCACCCATTTTGCAAAATTGGACACTTTTTTTTGCATTTGAGCCTACAAAGAGATGCAACCGCAATGAAGGGAGAGGAGCACTGCTCTGGCTCCTGCAGACTCTTCCTCAGGCTCAGGTCCATACCAAGGTATCAGTTATGGAGTTGAAAGAAATACCAATAGACAATAAGTACAGGGACATCACTTAACATTGAGAACTACGAGTCCCTCTCCTGTGGTGTTAGATGGGACCTGTAATTTCTTCATTCAGAGTAAATGAATGACCTGACTGTAAGGGGAGAGCCATGCACACCTGTGTCAATTTCAAATCTGACAGGAGCTGGCAGGGAGAAGAACCCCCAAGATTCTGTAAGTAAGGGGGGCGGTTGGAGGATGGTGGGCTGTGGACTCTGACCATGTCACATTTCCTACATATAGCTTGGTCAGAAGATGGCGTTAACTTTTAAGTCTAGTGGTAGAGGAATAGGCTGTAACACTTCCCTTATCCCTGGCTCCGGCTGGGTTCAGGCACTCACTTCTTCTCTCTGACATTTGGGGTTGTAGCGCGTCCTTGCTGTCATCACTTACAATGCAAGGCTATAGCTCCTGCATTGTGTGTGATGATGTCAGCGTTCATCCAATAGCTGGTGCTCCTTAGAGAAGAGTCTTCCTATGACTGGTTGTACAGATGGAGGAAGCTTGCCAGAGCAATGAATAAGGAAAGTATTGCACCCTATTCCTCTACCCCTAGACATAACAAGCATTTAAGCTTTGCAGTGCAGGGGGCCACTGCATGTGTATTTGTTGTAGGTAGGTTTTAAAGAAAACCTGCACTCTATGGTGGTTGCCATTGATGACCCCCTCCTAACAACTGCTAGTTGCCTGGCTGTTTGTGGCTTCAATACCTTCTCGATCTTTGACCAGTAAGAAGTATGTACAGTATATCTGTAGAGTCAGAATGAGGTCAGACCTGCTGATCTGAATATTTGTTCCAAATCTGTGAATTTGAACGTACAGAAGTCATTGAAGCGCCATGACAAGCTGAGAACTTGCATTTTCAGGAGGTGGTCAGCAATCTCATCATCTTTACTTCAACATTACAGGTTTCTTTTAATAAGCTAAAGTGCATGAATAATTGAAATGTTATTTTAGATCAACAGATCACAGGGGATATCTATGGATTGACTGTATGCCCATGCAGGGCCAAGGAACAGGTTCACTATAGAGCCCAGCTCCAGGCTCAATAAACGTACTAGGATTACAGCCGTTATATATTCCTTTGCATCAAAAGCAAGCCCCGTCCATGCAGGCTTTCTTCTAAATCCATCAAATCTGCTAGGTTACATGCCAGATTAATAGAGCTCCTGATGCACTTCCAGGCTGCCTGGATGTAAGCTCTGCAGGTCTCATAGACCCCAGCACTGCAGTAGTTTCTCTGCCTCGCTCTTCTCATGGACATTCACGAAATGAAGCCTGGGGCTGTGCGTTTTGCAAATAGCCTGGAGGAGAGGGAAGACGAGACACAACCTTAGAACTGGAGTCTATAAGACCTGCAGTGCTTGCATCCGCGCAGCCTGGAACAAGCAGATTTTATAGATGTAGAAGAATGCCTGCATGACGGGGGGGTTGCTTTTGATGTAAAGGAATATATCACAGCTATAACCTTGGTAAGTTTATGGAGCTCAAAGTTGGGCTTTAATGCCCCCCCTCCTTCTCCAAGCCATACATACTCACCTCTCTTATACTCCCTTGATGCTTTGTTAAGGCCAAATGTACAGGCAGCCCTGTGTTAACTCCAAGTTGCTCTAGTGGGATCTTACACAGGGCTGAGTACTCTCCGTGCTACCTTGTGAGAGCACTAAGCCAATCACAGAGCACCAGTGCTGTCACATGCTCCTCAGTACTCAGACCTATCATTGCACCTAGCTCAGATTGAAGTGCCAGAGGAGCAAAGCAAAAGTATGCGCTGAATGGACAGTGCATACGTAGGCAGGTGTGGTTTGTTTTCTCCACTGCAGGAGGCGCTTAAACCGAGAGGCACCTCAGCCTGGAGAGGAAGTCCATAGTTTTTCTATGGTTTCCTGGGTCAGTGGAGCAGCTTTCCAGTTGGCTACTCTGGGTCCATGTGGCCCTCGGTGGCCAACTTGGGACAGCAGGGTCTATTTATGTCCCTGCCCTAGGTTTTGGCATGCTTCTGACATGTAGATAATGTAGGGAGAGAGACCCCGCATGTTAGGGAAAGTAACTAGTGGTAGGGAAAGGTTCCTGATGAGGAGGGAAAGATTAGGGACTCAATATCATGGAAAGGAGCTTCCCTCTTGAAACCTGACCGGCCAGGCCACGCTTCACCCTCTGAAACAGACGCCATCGGCACCTCTCCTCTACATCTGACTACATTGAACTGTGAGTTATTCCCCGGCGGTGTTCTCCAGCCTGGGTCCGGGGTGTATTTACCACAAGGCAAACAAGGCATTTGTCTAGGGCGGCATTTTTCAAGGGGCAGCAGCATTTTTCAGGTGGGTCGTTTTTTTTAATGTTGCTTGTATAAGTATGAAATAAAAAGTTAAAAAAAAAAAAATTCATTGTTCATAGCACCCCAAGCACGGCCAGCAAAAGCGCCTTTTTTGTGCATTTCAAAACATGTGACAAATGCGCAAGGCTGTATACCAAAGAAAGGTGCAAAAAAAAAGCATGTGTTTATGCAATGCCTGAATGCGACTCCAGCTTATTTGATCAAAAAGAAGAAAATAAGAGTTCATTGTTTGGCTTGACATACACTTTAACCTAACCCCAAAAACAACCCAGCCTCCTCAAGCACTCACATTTAACCCTTTAGGAAGTAGTAGAGCAATCTTCCTGGCTGTGCAGTATGGACAGAATATAGAGACTCTAATTACTTTTCGTAGTGGCTGGCTTTCATGCTAATTTAAATGGCTTTATTATTTTTTTGAGCACTGACCTGGAACAAGTATGCAGATCCGGAGCTCGCACTTTCTGCCTAATTGTTCTGAGTCAGTAACTCAAAAAGTTTTGAAGCCAGAGCCAGTCAACTTGTATTCTTAGAGGTGAGCAATGGATGCCTCCGCATTCCTCTTAATATTAGCTGCAATGGCTGCTAATGCAGTGTCTTGTGTATCAAAGTTCTCAGCGAAAGATTTGAGTTGTGGAATTCCGCTCACCTCTTCGAATAGGTCCAGACTGTAAGTGTTGTCATCATCTGCAAAATACACAACTCCGGGCAAGCTGTTGTTTTTTTTAAATGTCTCTCTAAGCCACCGTAAGGCCAGGTTTCTCTGCATAGTCCCGCGGGGTATTCTGGGGTCCCTGGTGTCCCCTCTTAGTTTATAATTACGTGGGGTCTCCACGTTAAGGTGGGTGTAATTAAGACCAGAGTCCTGCAGCATCCGGGTGACCAGAGGGGTGCGCCGCTGAGAGTCCTCCACCAGGATCCAGTGCAGGTTGGGGACATGCAGTAAGGTGTTGGCCAGGCGGGTCAGTTCGGCCTTCTGCACCGGTCTGCTGTAGGTGGGGGTGATGACGTGGATGGTTGGGAGGTTACCCATCCAAGGTGGGGGCCGTGTATATACATACTCAGTCCTGACAACTTCTACTATATCTCTCTCTGAGGAACAGTATTCCCTGGAATCTGAGCCTGGATTGGCATCCCTCCGGCCATCAGTCCCGTCCTCTGGAACAGACAGAAGAACAATTATCCCAAGGGAACCAGAGAAATACAATCATACTGTGTTAAAGTGGAGAACAGAATTCCCTAACCTTTCACAAAACCTCTAACTCCCCCACTGTTCTAGATGTGTTTAGTTGACTACACCTGAACTTTGTAGTTAATATTTCTTTAGCAGATTTGAGCTGCAAGTGGTGGTGCAAGGGAAATTAGAAATGGGTCTTGACCACATACAGAAGGATCTTGATTTATAAATAATAAAATGTACCAGCATCTGAATAATAGGAAGACCCATTCTAAACAACCCAACAAGCTTCAGTTCAGAAGAACTGCCCGGATATTATTCCCTATCTCTAGATACATGTATTTTTCTGTTCTATTCAGAGTGCAGTGTACAGTAGGCATCATATATAGCCTGCAATGACCTACACTGCAGTGCGATCACAGGCCAGCACTTGGACTTGGGAAAGGTTATGGTAGAAGAACCAAAGTAGCTATTCTTCAAGAAACATTAGGTTAGGGGAATTTCTTACCTACAGTTGTGTCCAAAATTATTCAACCCCCACTGAAATTGAGTGTTTTGGCCAGTTTGACATTGCTTTTGATCATTCAGTCATCTTGCTTACATTTACATTAAAGAGGCACTTGTAGGTCAGACAAATATAACATAACAGTTATAATGAAATAACCACAAATGTCTTTTCTGTGCTCACAGCATTATCAGTTTTATTCAACCCCCAAGTGACATTCAATCTTAGTACTTAGTACAGCATCCTTTTACAGTTATAAACAGCTTTTAAACGTGAAGCATAGCTTGACACAAGTGTCTTGCAGCGATCTACGGGTATCTTCGCCCATTCTTCATGGGCAAAGGCCTCCAGTTCAGTCACATTCTTAGGCTTGCGCACTGCAACTGCTTTCTTTAAGTCCCACCAGAGGTTCTCAATCGGATTTAAGTCTGGTGACTGCGATGGCCACTCCAAAATGTTCCAGCCTTTCCTCTGCAACCATGCTCTAGTGGACTTGGAGGTATGCTTGGGATCATTGTCCTGTTGAAAGGTCCAACGTCTCCCAAGCCTCAGTGTGTGTGACGGACTGCATCACGTTTCCATCCAATATCTCCTGGTACTGAAGAGAATTCATGGTACCTTGCACACGCTGAAGCTTCCCTGTACCTGCAGAAGCAAAACAGCCCCAAAGCATGATTGACCCTCCACCATGCTTCACAGTAGGCAAGGTGTTCTTTTCATCATAGGCCTTGTTCTTCCTCCTCCAAACATAGCGTTGATCCATGGGCCCAAACAGTTCTAATTTTGTTTCATCAGTCCACAGAACACTATCCCACAACTTTTGTGGTTTGTCCACATGGCTTTTGGCATACTGCAGTCGACTCTTCTTATTCTTTGGAGACAGCAAGGGGGTACGCCTGGGAGTTCTGGCACGGAGGCCTTCATTACGCAGTGTGCGTCTTATTGTCTGGGCTGAAACTTCTGTACCCACATCTGACAAATCTTTTCTCAGTTCCTCAGCAGTCACACGGGGACTTCTCTCCACTCTACGCTTCAGGTAGCGCACAGCAGTCGAAGTCAGCATCTTCTTTCTGCCACGACCAGGTAGCGTTTCAACAGTGCCCTTTGCCTTGAATTTGCGAATGATGCTTCCTAAGGTGTCTCTTGGTATGTTTAACATCTTTGCAATCTTCTTATAGCCATTGCCCTTCCTGTGAAGAGAAATCACCTCTTCTCTTGTCTTCCTGGACCATTCTCTTGCCTTCACCATGTTTGTAACCACACCAGTAAATGTCTAGAAGGAGCTGAGTATCACAGTCATTTTAAAGCTGCCTAATTGGTGCTTATTATGCTTGATTGCTGCTCGGTGACATCCACAGGTGTTTTCAATACCTGATGGAAAGCACCTGTATGAACCTCTGTTCTTCAGAGTGGTAGTCTTTAAGGGTTGAATAATTGTGGCAATGAAGAAACCACATAAGAACCATTTACTACTGTATTACATAAACAATTGATGTCATTTTAGTTGCATTTGGGTAGTTACAACGTCCTTGTAGGATTTGATTCTGAATACAATTCCAAATGTACACTATAGTCCCTAAACCCCTTTACAGCATTGGGGGTTGAATAATTTTGGACACAACTGTATTTAACCCTCCCCACACCCCCGCAATAAGCATTCCCTTTCCCTTTTTTTATTAATCGTCCATCTTGAGTCTATTCAGGTCTATTTCTAGTTGAGGAAAGCAAGCCAAGAGCAAATTGCAGAATCCAAACCAAAAGCAGATTGACAAAGAACACGTTCATCAGTGAAGTGGTAGATGAAGTATACAATGGAGGTAAAGATGGTGAAAAAGAAGGAGAGTGGCAGATTGGTAAATAGGTATGGAACTGGAACATGGCTGAAGCATGGCTGGTAAGTCTGATTAAGGATTATAGATTATTCTAGTTGTCAAATGAGTGCAAGTAACGTTTATGTGAGCAAAGTTTAATGGCAGTGTATGGTAAATAGATAGGCTGCATTGCCACTGGTCCCTAATTACTGGGCAGGCCACTTTTGCAGTGATGCCACTCATCTCTAAAGACTGGGTAGGTTGTGCTCTTAGTGAGGTCACTGCCCTCTAGTGAATTAATAGGTTGTTAGCAGTGATGTCACTGGTCTTTAAAAGGGGATAGGTTGCATTCTCAATGATATTATTGGTCTCCAGTAAATGGACAGGTTGCTTTCCTAGTGATGTCACTACTGTTTAATAAATGGATAGGCTGCTTTCCTAGTGATGTTACTGGTCTTTAAAAATGGATAGGTTGCATTCTCGGTTATATTACTGGTCTCTAGTGAATGGACAGGCTGCATTCCTAGTGATGTCACTACTGTTTAATACATGGATAGGCTGCATTCTCAGTGAGATCACCAGTCTTTACTGAATGAATAGGCTGTGTTTGTAGTGATCCCACTGTCCATTATAGAATGGACTGGCTACATTCTCAATGATGTCACCAATCACTAGTGAATGAACTGACTGCATTTCAGTGCCACTGATCTGTATCAAATGGATAAGTTGCATTCTTAGTGAGGTCATGTGCCTTTAGTAATAGATGGGGTGCATTCACAGTGATTAAAGCACTTTTTAGTGAATGGGTAGGCCACATTCTCAGTACTTTCAATGTCTCTAGTGAGAATAACTCTGATCTATGGCAAACAGGTTGCATTCTCAGCAATGTGACTGCTCCCTTGTGAATGGATAGACTGCATTCTCACTAACATCATTGTTCTTTAGAGAAAGGATAGACTGCATTCTTAGTGATATCTCTGATCTATGGTGAATGTATAGGCTGCATTCTCAATGATGTCTCTGATCTATGGTGAATGGATAGGCTGGATTCTCAGTGATGTCTCTGATCTATGGTGAATGAATGGATAGGTCTGGATTCTCAGTGATGTCTCTGATCTATGGTGAATGAATAGGCTGGATTCTCATGATGTCTCTGATCTATGGTGAATGTGATAGGCTGCATTCTCAGTGATGTCTCTGATCTATGGTGAATGGATAGGCTGCATTCTCAGTGATGTCTCTGATTTATGGTGAATGGATAGGCTGCATTCTCAGTGATGTCTCTGATCTATGGTGAATATATAGGCTGCATTCTCAGTGATGTCTCTGATCTATGGTGAATGGATAGGCTGCATTCTCAGTGATGTCTCTGATCTATGGTGAATGGATAGGCTGCATTCTCAGTGATGTCTCTGATCTATGGTGAATATATAGGCTGCATTCTCAGTGATGTCTCTCTGATCTATGGTGAATGGATAGGCTGCATTCTCAGTGATGTCTCTGATCTATGGTGAATGATTAGGCTGGCATTCTCAATCTGGTGAATGTCTCTGATCTATGGTGAATGAATAGGCTGGATTCTCAATGATGTCTCTGATCTATGGTGAATGATAGGCTGGATTCTCAATGATGTCTCTGATCTATGGTGAATGGATAGGCTGGATTCTCAATGATGTCTCTGACCTATAGTTAAAGGATAGATTGCATTCTCAGTAAAGAGACTGTTCTCTTGTGAATGGATAGGCTGCATTTGGGGTTAACAAAGGTCTTCCAATAGAACAGTGTGACCTAATGCCATTACAGCCCTGGGTCAATCTATATGGTCAGCACTTTCGGTCATGTGAACAGACATAACATAAAAAGCATACATCTTAATGTAATGTGATCCACTGATGAAGGATGTAAATCAGAAAGGTGAGCGCTGGCTTGGAAGATTCTGATGGGACTAGCTATTCTCAGTCTCTGGGTCCTCATATCAGTTTTGGGCATCAGTTGCAGTGAAAGGTTAATACACTCATCTTCATACCCTCTCTGAGTCTGAGGATTGCAGCTTCTATCAGTGGCTTCTGGCCCAGCTATTTTACCTTATAGCTTCACCTTAAGTGTAACATTTTATTCCCACAACAAAAATATACATTAACAAAAATATGAGAGAACATTTCTGAAAACTGATGAAGAGAGATTGCCCATGGTAACCCAATGCCCATTTTTCTATTGTTTCCTATGAGAAACGTAAGATTTGTACATGGCTCTCACTTATGCTGCAACTATCAGACTAGGCGGGGGTCCTCCGATATCTAATCTGCAGCACCTAGCAGGTGTACAGAAGCAAAGAACTGAATGGATCCCATAATTGTATAAATTGCCGGTCCTTTCCTGGATCTGTTCTTTAGATATTGATAAAAGCCTTGAGAGCAAAGGCTAAAACGTGGAGGGAATGCCCTCCCCTGACTAGTCTCAGTGCTGTAATAAGAACAGGTGCAGCCCCTGCATCACATCAAGTATGCAAGTGTCCTAGAAAGCTTTGCATGAAAGGAGAAGCTCCAGCAATTTGTCTTCACAATCTTTGCAACCGTCTAGGAAAAGCACATAAGCAGGGAGATGGGAATTCTAGGAGGCTCTGCAGGAAAAAGTACTGTTGCCATGATCACGAAAAAGGGAAATTTTGTAATAGCAGTTTTTGAAAACCATAGCTGGCTTGAGTTTAAAATGGAAATTCTAATTATAGATTGTGGGGATATTATTATATCCTATTATTATATCCTAAACTATTTTACAAAAATTCAGTTTCATTTCAGTTCTTGCCACCTGAACCAGTTACCTAGTAATTCTGCATATGTACATGTTACTATGGTCGCTGGGAGAAATTAGGCTGTGGGTGAGTTTGTTGTTTGAGAAGATAAATGGCAGTTGAGATTATTACACTTTAAGTAGAACTAAAGGCAAAACATTTTTTTTTTACATTGCCTACGCATCTCAGTGTACGATTCTGTGCCGGGACCCAGGTAACTCCAGTTCATATGTGTAAATGTTACCTCATCTGGGCCAAAGTCAATCAAGATGCCAAAGACTGTGAACCCTGAAGAAGATGGAAGTGGCAGTGGCAGAAGGGATCGACGACTTTTGCAAAGATTGCCAGGTAAGTGTGTCATAATCTGCTCCTATGCTGTGCATAATTAAGCTGGCCATAGGTGGATCGAATCTCGGCCGGTCCTTGCTGAAATGGCCGATATTCGATCCATCTATGGGTAGGCTGGTTGTATTGAAGTCGATCCATGGATTGACTTCAGTACAACCAGCCTGTTGGATTCTTTTCATGTGATTAGCCGTGTGCAGTAGTCATTGTGTTCTTTTGCAGTGAAGGCTCCCACTGGCAGGACACAATAGCGCTGCGGGACAGAGTACAGTTGGCATTGATGGGGAAATCAAGCAATTTTCTTTCCTTCCACCCGTGGTTGCAGGAAATAAAAATCGCATCACCTATGGCTTGCTTTACACATTATGGAAAAAAAACCTCCTTGGAGCCCAACGTTTTGAATTTAGTTTGGCAGTTTACTTCCAACTATCCCACAACCTAAACTCCCGGCCCTACCAAATAATACTAACAGCACATAGTTGAGCTGGCCATAGATGGGTAGAATTTCACCAGCAAATTCTTAGGAAAAGAATGTTCTAAGAAAGTGCATTTGCTTTCACTACGTATAGGTGGGGCAAATCAATGTTCGTTTTTGACCCCAGTGACATGAAAATGTGAAGGAGCTGGAGGGAAGTTTTTTTTTCTAGAACAAACTAATTTCTAACAGTGTATGGGATTTGTGTTTGGTGAAGTCCATTCATTCCAAAATCATGTTAAAATCAAATAAATTCTTTCAAACAAAATTTGAATGTTCTGAGAAGGTTTTGAGAAAGTTGTGAACATTTTTGTACACATTTTTCTAAGGCAGGTCATAGATTACGCAATTTACTTTCTTTCCACCATGGGTGGAAAGAAGGTATATTGCTCAAATTCCACCCATAAATGCAGTCAATCTTGATGGGGGAGTCCGTCTTGCACTGCTATTGTGTTCTGCTGGCGGGGATCGACTTGTGTATAACCAGGGTGTCTATACATGGATCGAAAATTCAGCAGGTCTTTGCTGAACCGGCCAAATTTTGATCCATGTATGGCTGGCTTTAGACTTTTCCTAAGAATTTTCATGCCTGATACTAATATTCTGCCAGAATGTCAATAGCCAGAGAGAAGATGTGTGAACCCCAGAGAACACTGTCGGCAAAGGAATCAATATGTGGCAAAATGGAACAAATGACAAATACTCTATATTGCCAAAAGTATTGGGACACCCCTCCAAACTCATTGGATTCAGGTGTACCAATCACCACAATGGCCACAGATGTACAAAATCAAGCACCTAGGCATGTAGACTGCTTTTACAAACATTTGTGAAAGAATGGATCACTCTCAGGAGCTCAGTGAATTCAAGCGTGGTCCCGTGATAGGTTGCCACCTGTGCAATAAGTCTATCTGTGACATTTACTTCCTACTAAATATTCCACGCTCAACTGTTAGTGGTGATATAGCAAAGAGGAAGCAACTGGGAACAACAGCAACTCAGCCACCAAGTCGCCAACTGTCTGCAGAGTCAATAGCTAAAGACCTCCAAACTTCATGTGGCCTTCAGATTAGCACAACAACAGTGTGTAGAGAGCTTCATGGAATAGGTTTCCATGGCCGAGCAGCTGCATTCAAGTCTTACATCACCAAGTGCAATGCAAAGTGTCAGATGCAGTGGTGTAAAGCACGCCGCCACTGGACTCTAGAGCAGTGGTGACATGTTTTCTGGAGTGACGAATCACGCTACTCTGTCTGGCAATCCGATGGACGTGTCTGGGTTTGGCGGTTGCCAGGAGAATGGTACTTGCCTGACTGCATTGTGCCAAGTGTAAAGTTTGGTGGAGGGGGGATTACAGTGTTTTTTTATTTTCAGGGGTTGGACTTGGCCCCCTAGTTCCAGTGAAGGGAACTCTTAAGGCATCAGCATACCATGACATTTTGGACAATTTCATGCTCTCAACTTTGTGGGAACAGTTAGGGGATGGCCCCTTCCTGTTCCAACATGACTTCACACCAGTGCACAAAGGAAGGTCCATAAAGACATGGATGAGCAAGTTTGGGGTGGAGGAACCTGACTGGCCTGCGCAGAGTCCTGACCTCAACCCGATAGAACACCTTTGGGATGAATTAGAGCGGAGACTGTGAGCCAGGCCTCCTCCCCCGACATCAGTGCCTGACCTCACAAATGTGCTTCTGGAAGAATGGTCCAACCTTCCCATAGACACCCTCCTAAACCTTGTGGACGGCCTTCCCAGAAGAGTTGAAGCTGTTATAGCTGCAATGGGCGGGGCCAATTCAATATTGAACCCTACAGACTAAGACTGGGATGCCATTACAGTTCATGTGCGGGTAAAGGCAGGTGGCCCAATGCTTTTGGCAATATAGTGTAGTAAATGAACGTGAAACTTAAAAAATATCTCAAACCTTTTAAAGGAAGACCTAATTTCTCCTCCACTACTTTCTGCCTTGAAACTGGATGCTATGCATATAAACGGCAGACATAAAGCAAAGGACTAGTCACCAGTATTGCCTGTGGTCTCTCTGCAGCTGATCTTTCCTATGACTGACCTACAATGTCTTATTCTGCACTGTGTCTTTGTGTGGAGGCAGCCACCTCGGTATAGGCAGGGCTTTGCTTCCACACGTCAGAGCCTCCAGCAAGGAGAACAGTGAGCAGCACAGTAGAGACATCACTGCCTTAGATCTCACACTGCAGATATAAAGCTATGAAGCTGTAGTGACAGGAGTGCCTAGGCACACTTACATATTGGGAAGTGCACAGCTATTTTTCAGGAAGAATTCCAGACAAAAGGTAGGATTTCAGGGTGCTACATAACATTCCTAAATTTTCCCTATAATGTAGCAAATCTTAGCTTATTGAGTTCAGCTCCAGTTTAATTACTCTCTAAATATGCTCTTTAGCCCTACCAATTATGGAACGGGAAAATGAAATGGGATCAAACTGTGAACAGTTTTTCAGAAATGTCCCGTTGGATGACATCAGGATATGTTGGCAGAGGATGAGGGCATGCACCATAGACTGGTCAGGGGGTTGATGAGTATGAAGTCAGTGGTGGTCAGTGACACAACAGGACAATTCTAAGTTGAGGGGGTCACAGAGTCTCCTCACCCTTGTGTGCAGTGAGCAACGGGGACAGAGTACTGTGGTGCCATACTGTGATGAGCAAAGTCCAGGGCAGAACGATCAGTACAATAGCCAGAATGTCCCTTCTCTTCAGCATCTCCAGGGTAGGCTGACCCCAGTGCTCCTCATTACCTGATGAGGACACCCCGACAGCACAGAGAACAGCAAAAGCAGACAGGAAGAGAGATCAGTAAACAAACAGAGAGAAGCAAGAAAAACACAGCACAGCTCAACACAGTCACCTCTTACCAGCATTCAGAACCCACCCATTGCAGCAGGCTGGGGATTCCAGGCTCTGCCTAGATAGGGGGAGGCAGGTCACAGAGACTCGGGGTCAAGGCCCCTCACCGGCCAGGACCAGGAGATGCACCGCACAGAAGGAAACCTGTAGAGAAAGGACGAGAGAGAGAAGACGTGAACACCAGAGAGCACTGTTAGCTAAGGAATCAATATGCGTCTTCCCACTGCAATGCAACAACCCGAATCACCGTTAAATCCTCACTAGCAAAATAATAAAATGACAAAATAAAACCCCACATGGCATCTGCACATTAAAGAGTAAACTTAACCATAAACACAATTTTTTTTATCTTTTGCAATTACTCGTGTACCAAAATGAATCTGGATTTATTCATGGATTTGTTAGCATTTACGCGGTGCTGATTCAGAGTAATACGGCAGAGATCGCTAACGGTCAAATGTGGCCATCACACCGCCTGCCACCGACACACAAACTGCATGAATATTACATATTTTTAAAGGAGAACAGTGATTTTATAAAAACTCTTCTAACTGCCAATTTTTTTTCGATCTTGCTATTCAATGTGGAAGGAATGTGAATCGCATTATTTTCCAACTGTTTTATTTAGTGGTTTGCCTAACTCTGGGAAACTTAATTAATTACAGGTACTTATATAGCGCCGTCAATTTGCGCAGCGCTTTACATATATATTATATATTCACATCGGTCCCTAACCCTCAAGGGGCGTACAATCTAAGGTCCCTAACTCACATTCATACACATACTAGGGCCAAGTTAGACAGGAGCCAATTAACCTACCAGCATGTCTTTGGCACGTGGGAGGAAACAAGAGTACCCTAAGGAAACCCACGAAGGCACTCCCTGCAAACTTCAGGCAGGTGGTGTTGGGTTTGGGATTTGAACCAACAACCCTTGTACTGCCAGGTGGGAGTGCTAACCATTTAGCCACTGTGCTGCCTTGAACATTCCTCCTTGCAGTGAGGCTACCCCTACACTGCTAATGCTGACTTTAGGTTTATATGACATTGAAAAGAAGATTTAGTTACCTTATCCTCCATGCTGCTAGATATGTCCCTGCAGCCTCAAGCTCCAGCGATCTAAGATCCTGGTGTCATCAAGAACTATGCTGGGTCTATTGCTATGCATTGGATGTGATGACACAGAGGGACAGTCCACTGTTGGAGCATGGGGGAGCATTGTCTGTCGGGGAAGCGATGGATTGAGGTAAGCTAAATGCTTTTACTCTTGCATCCCCAATGCGAGGAGGAATTTTCAGACTTACTGGAGTTGGCCTTTAATGTGGAGACACTATGCTGCACAAGTTAATACAAATAAAAGCAAAAAGATCATTATATATATATATATATATAAAAACCATTGTAACTTAATGAGAGGGCTATGATATCAGTCAACTGAATCCCCATGATGAGTAGGTGCAGCGTGGTGTGGCAGGCAGTAAGCAGAGTCCCGATTTGCCAAAAACCATGTATTGTTAAAGTAGTTCAACAAGTACAGACAGGCCGGGCGGGAAAGTCCAACCATCTGCTAGCACTTACAACTGTACCACAAGGTTATGCATTTGAGGGCTAAGAATATGCATGCATCATACATACAAGGGGGGGGGGGTACAAGGGGGGGGGGGGGGGGGGGGGGGTCAATGTTGGAGAAGGATCTGGGAGTTCTGGTAGATCACAAGCTTAATAATGGCATGCAATGCCAAGCTGCGGGTTCTAAAGCGAGCAAAATCCTCTCTTGTATTAAAAGAGGTATAGACTCCAGAGAGAGAGATATCATTTCCCCCGGTACAAATCACTAGTAAGACCTCATCTGGAATATGCAGTTCAGTTTTGGTCACCAATTCACAAAAAGAACATTGGGGAACTGGAGAAAGTACAGAGAAGGGCAACCAAACTGATAAGATGCATGGAGGAGATCAGCTATGAGGAAAGATTAGAGGAACTGAATTTATTCTCTCTTGAGAAGAGGTGATTAAGGGGGGATGTGATCACCATGTATAATACATAAGGGGGGATATGATCTCCATGTATAATACATAAGGGGGATATGATCTCCATGTATAATACATAAAGGGGGGGGGATATGATCACCATGTATAATACATAAGGGGGGATATGATCACCATGTATAATACATAAGGGGGGATATGATCACCATGTATAATACATAAGGGGGGATATGATCTCCATGTATAATACATAAGGGGGGGGATATGATCTCCGTGTATAATACATAAGGGGGGGGATATAATCTCCATGTATAATACATAAATGGGGATATGATCTCCATGTATAATACATAAGGGGGATATGATCACCATGTATAATACATAAGGGGGGATATGATCTCCATGTATAATACACAAGGGGGATATGATCACCATGTATAATACATAAGGGGGGGGATATGATCTCCATGTATAATACATAAGGGGGGATATGATCTCCATGTATATACATAAGGGGGATATGATCTCCATGTATAATACATAAGGGGGGATATGATCACCATGTATAATACATAAGGGGGGATATGATCACCATGTATAATACATAAGGGGGGGGATATGATCACCATGTATAATACATAAGGGGAGGATATGATCTCCATGTATAATACATAAGGGGGATATGATCTCAATGTATAATACATAAGGGGGGTATGATCTCCATGTATAATACATAAGGGGGATATGATCACCATGTATAATACATAAGGGGAGTATATGATCTCCATGTATAATACATAAGGGGGGGATATGATCTCCATGTATAATACATAAGGGGGATATGATCTCCATGTATAATACATAAGGGGGGTATGATCTCCATGTATAATACATAAGGGGGGATATGATCTCCATGTATAATACATAAGGGGGATATGATCTCCATGTATAATACATAAGGGGGATATGATCTCAATGTATAATACATAAGGGGGGTATGATCTCCATGTATAATACATAAGGAGAGATATGATCTCCATGTATAATACATAAGGGGGATATGATCTCCATGTATAATACATAAGGGGGGATATGATCTCCATGTATAATACATAAGAGGGGATATGATCTCCATGTATAATACATAAGGGGGGATATGATCTCCATGTATAATACATAAGAGGGGATATGATCTCCATGTATAATACATAAGGGGGATATGATCACCATGTATAATACATAAGGGGGGATATGATCTCCATGTATAGTTCATAAGGGGGATATGATCTCCATGTATAATACATAATGGGGGATATGATCTCCATGTATAATACATAAGGGGGGCTATGATCTCCATGTATAATACATAAGGGGGGATATAATCTCCATGTATAATACATAAGGGGGATATGATCTCCATGTATAATACATAAGGGGGGATATGATCTCCATGTATAATACATAAGGGGGGATATGATCTCCATGTATAATACATAAGGGGGGAGGGTGTGATCTCCATGTATAAATACATCAGTGGTTCATATAGTGAACTCGGTGTAGAGTTATTCATCCTGAGGTCATCACAGAGACAAGGGGGCACTCTTTACGCCTGGAGGAAAATAAATTAAAGCTCCAAACACTGAAAGGTTTCTTCACAGTAAGAGCTGTGAAAATGTGGAATAGACTCCCTCAAGAGTTGGTTTTGGCCAGTTCAGTGGATTTCTTTAAAAAAGGCCTGGATTTGCTCCTGCAGGGAAAAAAATTCCTTCCTGATCCCCCGATAGGCAACTGGATATTCCCTGGATCAACTTTACCTATAAATGTTAGTAACCAGTTATATTTTGTGTATATAAGAAAGAATCCAGGCAGAGCCAAATATAACAGCGAAAGTCACATCCAAGTCACACCCATCCAAAGTTGCATCAAAGTTGCAATGGAAATCGCACAACTCTTGATTCGCACAAGTGTGAATGGAGCCTAAGGGATTTGTAAGATAACAGAAGTGCCATCACCAGACACGTGTGTTATTCTTGGAATTGATCCCTATGGGGCACATTGGATGTCAGACTCAACTTGTGTAAGCTCTGCTCCCTCCCAGCCCTAAACTACCAGTCAGCCTACTGTCAATGGCCAGAATGTTAGTGGAGAGCAATAAGTGTTGAATGAAAGGGCAGAACTTAGCATTAAGATAGGCAGGACATAACCTTGACTTGGTCAGAAGTCAGTCCTCCATGCATAGCCCTGGCTCAGGATCCTAGTGGGTTCAGATGGATACTTTAAAAGCATTAAAACATTTGTTTTAGGTTGACTTTAAAGTCTATTCCCACTTTTGCAGCTGAATTGGGATACCACCTACTATATATTACATGTCTCCATTCACACAGCATAGCTTAACCACTTAAACTCCGGAAACTTTTACCCCCTTTATGACCAGGCCAGTTTTTGCGATTTTTGTGTTACTTTAACAGGCAATTGCTATGTCATGCAATGCTGTACCCAAAGGAAATTGAAATTGATATCATTATTTCCCCCATAAACAGAGCTTTCTTTTGGTGGTATTTGATTACCACTCTGTTTTTTATTTTTTCTAAATGAAAAAAGACCTAAAAAAACCATAATATTTTTATCTTTCTGCTATAAACACACTCAATAAAAAAAAAATCAATTTTTTTCATAAATTTAGGCTAAATTGTATTCCACTTTGGTAAAAGAAAATCTCCATAAATGTATATTAATTGGTTTGCATGAAATTTATAGCGTCTACAAACTATGTGATGTATACTGGAATTTTTATTTATTTGTTTGTTTTATGCTAGTAATGGCGGCGATCATCCACTTTTATAAGGGCCAGTTCACACTACAAAAATGCACTCCAGATGCACTCCGGATACGTTTTTGCTTACAGTTCACATCATACGCAGTTCTGGTGCAGTTTTGACGCAGTTTACTATGTCCCAGTATGGTTCTGTGCAGAAAAAATGCAGCATGTTCTACATTTTTTTCTGCACTGGAAACTGTCTGGAACTGACTGCACTAGTGTGAACCAGGACCATCGGAATACATGGAAAACACTGTGCATGCATTTTTGATGCAGACAAAAAGTGCAGTGAACTGCATCTAGTGTGAACTAGCCCTAGGTTCACACCTATGCGCACTACAGTCCATTTAACATGATTTCCTATGGGTCGGGCTCACATGTCCGTGTTTTCACCCGGTGCGTTTTTTGGAAAGGGTCACGGACTTTTTTAAATGCAAAATGTTGCATTTTTGCTTCTGTAGAGTTCAATGGAGATTCCGCAGAAAAGCATGCAGTCCGTTTTTGATGAGTTTTGCGTATTAATTTGCCCAGCAAGAAGTTAAAAAAAAATAAAAAACACAGCAAAAATGCATGTGCAAAAACGCACTGCAGAAACGGAACAAACGCAAACTGCATAGGTGTAAACCTAGCCTTAGCAGAACTGTGATAGTGCGGCGGCCAATCTGACATTTTGTGGGCACTGGCTAACTGTCACTGACATCACCAGTGACACTAATACAGTGATCAGTGCTAAAAATAAACACTGTCACTGTACTAATGACACTGGCTGGGATGGGGTTAACATCTAGGGGCAATCAAGGGGTTAACTGTGTGCCTAGCAAGTGTTAATGTGTTTACTGTGTGCTACTTTGTACTACAGATTGATTAATTTTTTTTTCCCTGATCAGAAGGGAATATAAACAAATTGATCGCTCCCTCTGTATACAGCTCTGTGTTGTTTACCAACACAAAGCACTAAGCTGTGATTTGACTCAGTTGATCAGCAGGTCTTGGCCATGAATCATTGGCCGGGATCTGTTGATGAACCCTTGCTGTGTCAAATCACAAGGTAGTAGGTGGGTGGGGGTTGTACCAGTAAGTTGCTGTACCTGTAGCTGCCGCCCAGCTGGTCGGCAAGTAGTTAAAAAACATTTTAAACTTGCTGCTTACATTTTTCCTCTCTCTTTTTTGAATCATTATCTATATTCGAACACTGTCAAGTTGTAACAAGGGAAAAAGACCTAGAAGCTGGCCTTCTGCATTATATGTTCATGAGGGGAAATGAAGCAGGTCCCTCTTTGTAAGTGGGGACAGACTGGTTTTCCTCTCATTACAGATTATCCAGAGTACCTTATCAATCATATAGACGGGTCCTCAAAAATTTGACAGCAAAAGTGGAAATACACTTTAAGGTTTTACCCAGGGCTTTTTTTTTCTCAAAGAATAGGTGCAGGAACTCCTCCCTTCCATCCCTTGTCTCCGCCCCCTACCCACCTACGAGCACCATCCTTTGGTTCCACCTCTTACCCATCTACCAGTACCACCCTTTTATAGTAAACTAAACACAGAACCAATTATCATTTTGTGGTGTTAGGTAATTTATGAGGAATTTTCTAATGATAACTTAAAAAGCAGTAAAATAGATCCCGTGCTACCAGTAACAAAAGCACCTGCAGCAACAATATACCTTCACTAGCAACAATAGATCTCCCAGTAGCCAGCAACAACAGATCCCTCCTTCAACAGTATATCCCTCCCAGCAACAATTGACCTTTCAGCACTAATAGACGCCTCCCTCATCAAGAGCACCCCCTCCCTACCCAGCAACAATATATCCCCCAGCAGCCAGCAACAACAGATCCCTCCCTCAACAGTAAATCCTTCCCAGCAACAATTGACCTTTCAGCACCAATGGACACCTCCCTCATCAAGAGATCCCCCTCCCTACTCAGCAACAATAGATCCCCCAGCAGCCAGCAACAACAGATCCCTCCCTCAATAGTAGATCCCTCCCAGCAACAATTGACCTTTTAGCACCAATAGATGCGTCCCTCATCAATAGATCCCCCTCCCTACTCAGCAACAAGATTCCCCCGCAGCCAGCAACAACAGATCCCTCCCTCAACAGTAGATCCCTCCCAGCAACAATTGACCTTTCAGCACCAATAGACCCCTCCCTCATCAAGAGATCCCCCTCCCTACTCAGCAACAATAGATCCCCAGCAGCCAGCAACAACAGATCCCTCCCTCAACAGTAGATCCCTCCCAGCAACAATTGACCTTTCAGCACCAATAGATGCCTCCCTCATCAACAGATCCCCCTCCCTACCCAGCAACAATAGATCCCCCATCATCAATAGACCCTCCAACGCTCCCCTTCCCATTTCATACATTTAGTTCTGGAGGTGCCGGAACTGCGTTCCCCCGCGTTCCCGCTGAAAAAAGTTCTGGTTTTACCTCTTTCTTTGGTTTATAGCCTCATTATTGTTTGAAAATCATATAGGACAATTGCAGCCAGATGTACAGAATCTGACGTTTCTTCATACAACAAACTGACACAGCTGTTCACATACGTGACAACGGCATGTATCTGGTTACCAGTATATATAAAAGAAACCTCCTGCTTAGGATGTATCAGGACAGGATGATGCGGTCTGTATTGGAACAGTCAGGCACTGAAAGTCGGAACACAAGAATCTGGACTCTTAACTGCGTCAGTGTTCTTAAAATTGAAATTGCTCTATAACATCAGTAGAATGAAATGAGTGCCAATATGAGAAGCCGTTCTCCTCCTGCATGAATCATTGATGAGCCCGTACTGTATATACAGTAACTCAGGAGACAGACATACTATATATAGAGACATTCTGCTCGCCATACTGCACACAACGCGCCGCCTGCAGCTTGATTATGTGAGATCCAGTGCAAAGGAAATGTACGGCTGTTAACAACTACACTGCAGCTCTCATTTTTCTATCAGAGATTTCTAAAAATAAGAATCACTATGTAGCGCCGACATATTACGCATTTCGTTGCGCAGTATATAGAACTATTTCCAACTATGCTGGTTCACCAATAGAGCTTACACTCTAATGCAGCCATTCTCAAACTTTTTACCCCAGAGGAACCCTTGAATAATTTTCAGGTCTTGGGAAACTCCTGCTAAAACCAATTAATTGGAAAGAATGCCCCTTACATTGGTCAGTGGGAAGAATGTCCCTTACATTGGTGGTCAGTGGGAAGAATGTCCCTTACATTGGTGTGGTGTCTATGGGAAGAATGCTCCTTACATTGGTAGTCAGTGGGAAGAATGTCCCTTACATTGGTGGTCAGTGGGAAGAATGCTTCTTACATTGGTGGTCAGTGGGAAGAATGTCCTTTACATTGGTGGGCAGTGGGAAGAATGCTTCTTTCATTGGTGGTCAATTAGAAGAATGTCCCTTACATTGGTGATCTATGGGAAGAATGCTCTTTACATTGGTAGTCAGTGGGAAGAATGCTCCTTACATTGGTAGTCAGTGGGAAGAATGCTCCTTACATTGGTAGTCAGTGGGAATAATGTCCCTTACATTGGTGGTCAGTGGGAAGAATGCTTTTTCCATTGGTGGTCAATGGCATGAATGTCCCTTACATTGCTGGTGAGACTGCCACCCTTACAGCTGGCATTGGCTCAAGAACTATGCAGGCAACACCAGGTCAGAGGTGAATAAGTCACAAATCAAGTAATCAATCCAGCAACATCTTGAGGAACCCTGGTTGAGAATGGTTGCTTAAATGCCTCTGCCATACTCAAACACATCCCTTGTCCAAATTTTAAGTAAGATGCCATCCAACCTGGTTGTTGTTGGAAACACACAAAAGCAAAAAGAGAACATACATACTCAAGGATTAGATTGTCCCTGCTAGGACTGGTTCCCAGGACCTCAGCACTACAATACAAAAGTAGTAACTCATTCTGCCCAGAAAAGGATATGTTATGTCATACATGGGAGTAAACCTATTAGTTTCTAGCTACAACCTAATCTAAAGTGACCCTAGGGAAGGTTTAGGCAGAATCCAGCTAATCTCCTGGTATGTTTTAGGTGGTGGAAGGAAACTGGAGCACCAAACTAAGCCACTGTGTTTTCCAAAAAACTGATGCTGGATTATGGCTGGATTTGACTTTTTAAAAAGTGGAGTAAAATGAAAATAACCTAAAACTTTACTACAGTCATCACTCAATGAAAACGAAATTTTGGAATTAGAAGAACTACAAGACATACATCTTCAGTGTCAGTTACATGATGAACAATAAGGCACTGATCACTGTCCCAAACTACGTCACCGACCTGATATCCATATACCACCCAAAATGTACTCTCCGCTCCTCACAAGACCTCCTACTCTCTAGTTCCCTTGTCTCCTCCTCCTATGCCCATCTCCAGGACTTCTCCAGGGCTTCCCCCATCCTCTGGAACTCCCTACCCCAATCCATCAGACTGTCACCTACCCTCCTCACCTTTAGGCGCACCCTGAAAACCCATCTCTTCAGGGAAGCCTACCCCGCCCTCACCTAATTGCAAATCTCCTCCACTCTTCCTACCACTCCATCCCCCACAGCTATTTCCTCCTGTTCCACTATCCCCTACCTCCTAGATTGTAAGCTCCAAGGAGCAGAGCCCTCGAACCCCTCGTGTATTGTACTGTACTGAGATAAGAAGACAGATAAACCAAGCGCTAGGTGTCTATAAAGGAAAAAATGGCTAGCAGCTGACATAGGAAGTAAACCTCTGGAACTTCAAATAGTACATAAACAATAAAAGATATGCAGCGTTCAGAGACAGGATTAAACATAAATAAGTAAATACAATGATTAAAGTTCAGATATGATATGATGAGAAACTTGTAGGTTATCATAGCATGTAGATCAAACAGAGTAAACGTGACTTCTGTGATGTATCGGCATATGATAGACTGGAATGCTCGTGACTCTTGTGGTAATTATACTGAGTGTAGGTTGCACTAACCAGATGCATAAGCAGATGAAGCATGGAGTAATTAAGACCTACTCCTAGAACTCTGGATAAAGGCCACTGGATAGGTAGTTGTCATCTCAGATCTTGCCACTAGATGTCATATCTCCCAGGTCAGACAAAGGCAGGAATCCACAGACAACAGCATCAGCCAATAGAGGTATTAACCAGGTCATCAGCCAGCAGATGGACAGGATTTAGATGACCACCTTCAAAAAAGCCCGGGCTCCCTCAGTACAAAAAAGGAGCCCCAGGCCAGAAGCTTTGATAGTGTAGTAGGTTTATTGGTATAGTAAAACATAAAATGAAATGCACTTACAGAGTTAAAATACCCACGGCCGTCCAGCAATGGCCATGCAGTATGTCAAGATATCTGGGGGGCCCAATGTGAACCATGCCTTGCAGAAAAGAGCTCTCAGAAGACCTACGATCAAGAATTGTTGATTTGCATGAAGCTGGAAAGGGTTACAAAAGTATCTCCAAAAGCCTTGATGTTCATGTGTCCACGGTAAGACAGACTGTCTACAAATGGAGAAAGTTTAGCACTGTTGCTACTCTCCCTAGGCGTGGTCGTCCTGTAAAAATGACTGCAAGAGCACAGCGCAGAATGCTGCATGAGGTAAAGAAGAATCCCAGAGTGTCAGCTAAAGACCTACAGAAATCTCTGGCACATGCTAACATTTTTTTTGACACATCTACAATAAGGAAAACATTAAACAAGAATGGAGTACATGGGAGGACACCACGGAGGAAGCCATTGCTGTCCAAAAAGAATATTGCAGCACGTTTGAAGTTTGCAAAAGAGCACCTGGATGTTCCACAGCACTACTGGCAAAATATACTGTGGACAGATGAAACCAAGATTGAGTTGTTTGGAAAGAACACACAACACTATGTGTGGAGAAAAAAAAGGCACAGCACACCAACATCAAAACCTCATCCCCACTGTGAAACATGGCGGAGGGAGCATCATGGTTTGGGGCAGCTTTGCTGCCTCAGGGCCTGGACGGATTGTTGTCATTGATGGGAAAATGAATTCCAGAGTTTATCAAGACATTGTGCAGGAAAACGTACGACCATCTGTCCGCCAACTGAAGCTCCGCAGAGGATGGGTGATGCAACAGGACAATGACCCAAAGCATACAAGTAATTTAACAAAACAATGGCTGCAACAGCACAGAATACGCCTTCTGGAGTGGCCCAGTCAGAGTCCTGACCTCAACCCGATTGAAATGCAGGGGCATGACCTTAAAAGAGCGATTCACACCAGACATCCCAAGAATATTGCTACACTGAAACAGTTTTGTGTAGAGGAGTGGTCCATAATTACTCCAGATCGTTGTGCAGGTCTGATCTGCAACTACAGGAAACATTTAGTTGAGGTTATTGCTGCCAAAGGAGGGTCAACGAGTTATTAAGTCCAAGGTTCACATACTTTTTCCTCCCTGCACTGTGAATGTTTACATGTTATGTGCAATTAAACCATGGCAATATCTAATGTTTGTGTAGTATTATGTTCAGCAGACTGTGTTCTTCTATTGTTGTGACTTAGATGACGTTCAGAGCACATTTTATGCCCAATTCATGCATAACTCCACTTAATCCCAAGCGGTTCACATACTTTTTCTTGCAACTGTACATGTCTGTTATAGGCTTCATAAACACTGTTTTTTTAAGCTCCTAGAAGCTGTTATTAGCAATTTTTTGTCTCCTTGAAGCTGAATAGCGTTATCCTATGTGTCCATTCACACTACTTTAGGCTAGAAGTGGTTTTTGAGGTTCAGTGTCTAGGAGCCATATTCAGAAGATGGTGAAGAAGGAAGAGGAAATGCATCACTAGTTAGTGGGAGGGGACAGGGTGAAAGATAAAAAAAGGATGGTGCAATAACTGAAATGTCCAGAAGATGGCAGTATATTAACATTAGCCATAATTATGCATTACATTTTGTTGTTACACAGCACAATGCTCCTAAACGCTACTAAAAAGCTAAACATCTTTTTTTCTAACTTTTTTTTTTCCTATATGTACTGTATAAAATGCTAAAAAAAAATGCTAACGCTCCTAAACGCTTCTAAATGCTACTAAAATGCTGCTAAAAAATTATATTACCAGTGTATTTATCCAGCGTTTTTTCCAGCATTTGTTTAACAAAAAAGTGCTAGTGTGCCTGGAGCCTTATGATTTCTTCTCAGATTTACATGGAAGGATCTGTTTGTTCATTTGTCTTAGAAACAGACATCGTGCTTGATTCGGCAGCACATATACTAAAATTGGAACTGTACAGAGAAGATTTGCATGGCCCCTGCGCAATGATGACTCGCAAATTCGTGAACCGTTCCAAATTTTTTTTCTCTCTCTCATTTTCCTTACTGTAACCGCTTCCCAACCGCCCTATAGCAGAAAATACTGCTACGGGGCGGCACGGTGCGCAAAATCACATATATGTATGTGATTTTGCATTTACGGGTAAGGGGTGGGCACGCCCTACCCGCGACGCCATTCACGCCCGCCGGCACCCAGTGATTACTGAGCATCTCCAACTTGGAGGAAGATTGTTTTGTTTACAAACAGTCTTCCTCCCTGTCAGCTCGGGCACACTGCCCGGGATGGCTGTGCACAGTACAGCCATCCAGATCAGTGTGCTTACAGTGAAGCACACCCCCCGCCCCCTAGTAAAACACTCCCTACATATAATATAAAATTCAGCGCTAGAAAATGATGAACAACAATAATAGTAAATTGTGAGAAGTGGGCGCTTATACAACACTATAAAGTGGTTTAATGGTGAGTCGTCACTTGGTGACGTATCTAATAGATAAAGTCAATAAATATAAAGTGACTGTAGTGCATATTATGGTAAAATGCAAATGAAGTCCAAATATAATGGTGATCCGTGCTCCGTGCTGGTGATCTCTATGGCGAGGGCCAGTAATATGAATGCACTCACCAGAAACGCAAAAGGTATGCGCATGTATAAATATATCGACCAATGGTCATCTGGGACAAGGCAAGGGCTGCAGAGTCATCCAGCACACCATAGGCACACAAGGCAACAACGATCCCTCACAGGACACCATCTGCTCCCAGGGACGGTTCCAAGCAAGTGTCAGACCACCAGATCAGAAGCATCAAAAGTTGGGGAAATCTCCACCTTAGGCACTCGAATATAACAAGCAAGAGACAGATAGGTACTGATAGTGTAGTATTTTATTCAGAATCCAGCAGAGTAGGGAAATGAAAAGCACTCACATGTAACAAAGCATATGTAAAATGGCCACCGGCCTTCCTTGCGGCCGTCTGCGGCATTACGTCACTCTGGTAGGCTCCTCCCTGATGTGTTTTGTGCACCAGCATGTTATCAAAGGGACTCCCTACATATAGTTAACCCTTTGATCACCCCTCATATTAACCCCTTTCTGCCCAGTGCCATTAGTACAGTATCAGTGCTTTTTTCTAGCACTGATCACTGTATTGGTGTCACTGGGGATGTCAGTGACACCAAGTTAGTTCCCCCCCAGTTTCAGTCCTGCAGTCCCGCTAAAAGTCACTGATCGCCGCCATTACTAGTGGGAAAACAAAAAATCCCAGTATCTATACCGCCATTTGTAAAGGCTACAACTTTCACGTAAACCAATTAATTTACACGTATTGGGATTTTTTTTTTTAGCAAAGACTTGTAACAGAATACATTTTGGCCTAAATTTATGACGAAATTTGATTTTTAAATTTTTGTTTACTGAACTTGTTTATTAGAAAAAAAGTCCAAAATATTGTTTTTCTCAAAATTGTCAATCTTTTCTTTTATAGCACATAAAAATAAAAACCACACAGGCGATCAAATACCACCAAAAGAAAGCTCAATTTATGAGAAAAAAGGAAGTGAATTTTATTTGGGTGCAGCGTTGCATGACCGTGCAACTGTCAGTTAAAGTAACGCAGCGCCACAACGCACAAAATGTCCTGGTCAGGAAGGGGGTAAATCCACAGGAGGGCAAGGGGTTAATCAATACCTTGTATCTGTTTATAATGTTTCATTAAATTTTACCTGTATTGTTTTGTGACATAATTGTTTGTTGTTACCTCAAAACTTCAATAAAAATATTATGGAATAAAAAAAAAGAAATAGACATCAAGTTTCTTTGATTGTTTGAGTGGATAATTCTCAAATAAACGTTATTGAAAACTGTTTACACAAGCTCTCTGCTAAAACAATGAGAACCTAGATGCTACTGTTGTATTTTTGGCTAAAGTCAGCCCACCAGGAGCAGACTCACAGTACATATAAATTAGCTCCAAGGTAAATCTAACGATACTAAAGGTTGGAGATCCTAGAAGACGTCTTCCCCGGGAGCAGTGGCAGTGTGACCTGCAGAGACCAAAGGGGGGCAGATGGAGGGCAGATCGAGTGTCATTAAAATGCATATCTGTGTGTAATGGTCCATTGTGATACCAAAACAAATACAGACAGTTTCATAGTCATTTTCCATGATGGAATTGATGATCAATTGTGGACTACACTTTTGATCATCAATTCCATCATGAAGATTATTCAAAAACTTTTGGTATTCGGTTTTGGTACCACAATGCACCATTGCACACAGATATGCATTTTTAAAGTCACTCGATCTGCCCCCCTTTGGTCTGCCACTGCTCCCGGGGCAGATGTCTTGTAGGATCTCCAACCTTTAGTACCGTTAGATTTAACTTGGAGCTTGTCTGCTCCGGGTGGGTGGACTGAGATTCACGAGTTGTGTCGAGTTTTTGGATACAATGAGTCCTTGGATGCTATAGTCATACCAGCATGCAACAATATTTGTAATATTTATGTAAAAAATGACATCATAACTTTACATGAATTTACAGTGTTATTATATTTATCTTATACATAAATCAGCTCATGATTATTTTTAATTGTGGTTATTTATGGAATAATGAATTTGCAATCATGTACATCATTTACTATGAATTATAGGTGAACTGCCTCATTTAAAGTCCCAGGACCTATTGGAATTTGTGTATATTTGTAATTAGGGATGGAGGCATATCACCAATGGTGCTCTAGATTACATTTTCTATCCTAGTTACACTTCAATATCAGGAGAAACAATGGGCAAAGAAATTTTATGCTTGGCTTTTTCTTTTGCTATCACAGGTGGTGGAAATCAAGACAACTTTTCCTGAGGATATGAATTCACTTTATTACTTGCACTGAACCCATGCATACAAATATTGCAAAGGTTTTTAATTCGAAGGACGCTGTCATTGTTGTTGCTATTCAGCAGGAGAAAAGGTAAAACATAGTTACATACATAATTACATAGTTAGTCTGGCTGAAAAAAGACAAAAGTCCATCCAGTTCAACCATTAAAAAAAAAAAAAAAAGAAGTTATAATCCTATACCCACAGTTGATCCAGAGGAAGGCAAAAAAAACCCAGCAAAACATGATCCAATTTGCTCCTGCAGGAGAAACAATTCCTTCCTGATCCCCCAAGAGGCAATCGGATATTCCCTGGATCAACTTTACCTATAAATGTTAGTATCCAGTTATATTCTGTGTATCTAAGAAAGAATCCAGGACTTTTTTAAAGCAATCCACTGATCTGGCCAGAACCAACTCTTGAGGGAGTCTATTCCACATTTTCACAGCTCTCACTGTGAAGAAACCTTTCCGTGTTTGGAGAATAAATTTCTTTTTCTCCAGATGTAAAGAGTGCCCCCTTGTCCTCTGTGATGACCTCAGGTGAATAACTCTACACCGAGTTCACTATATGAACCACTGATGTATTTATACATGGACATCATATCCCCCCTTATGTATGTATTATCACATGGAGATCATATCCCCCCTTATGTATTATACATGGAGATCATATCCCCCCTTATGTATTATCACATGGAGATCATGGATCCCCCCTTATGTATTATACATGGAGATCATATCCCCCCTTATGTATACATCACATGGAGATCATATCCCCCTTATGTATTACATGGAGATACCCCCTTATGGTGATACATTGGTGATCATATCCCCCTTATGTATTATACATGGAGATCATATCCCCCTTTATGTATTATACATGGAGATTATACATGGATCTCCCCTTATGTATTATACATGGAGATCATATCGCCCCCCCCTTATGTATTATACATGGAGATCATATCCCCCCTTATGTATCATATACATGGTGATCATATCCCCCCCCCTTATGTATTCTACATGGAGATCATATCCCTCCTTATATATTACACATGGAGATCATATCCCCCCTTATGTATTACACATGGAGTCATATCCCCCCCTTATGTATTACACATGGAGATCCATCCCCTCCTTACATGTATTATACATGGAGATCAATATCCCCCCGTATGTATTGATACCCTCCTTATGTATATCCCCCCCCTTATGTATTATACATGGAGATCATATCCCCCCTTATATCCCCCCCCTTATGTATTATACATGGAGATCATATACCTCCTTATGTATTATACATGATGATCATATCCCCCCCCTTATGTATTATACATTAACCCCCATTAATCTCCTCTTCTCAAGAGAGAATAAATTCAGTTCCTCTAATCTTTCCTCATAGCTGAGCTCCTCTATGCCTCTTATTAGTTTGGTTGCCCTTCTCTGTACTTTCTTCTCTGAACTGCATATTTTATATGAAGCTTTACTAATGATTTGTATCGGGAGAAAGGATATCTCTCTCTCGAGCCTATACCTCTTTAGAAACCGCAGCTTGGCATTGCATGCCATTATTAAGCTTGTGATCTACCAGAACTCCCAGATCCTTCTCCACCATTGATTCCCCCAGTTGTACCCCCCCTAGTATGTATGATGCATGCATATTCTTAGCCCTCAAGTGCAGAACCTTACATTTATCAACATTAAACCTAATTTCCCACATAATTGCCCAATTACACAGTATATTGAGGTCAGCTTGTAAATTGGAGGCATCCTGTAAGGACATTATTCCACTACACAGCTTGGTGTCATCTGCAAAGACATACTTAGTAAGGTTGAAAAAAAGGACACAAAAAAAGGTCCATCTAGCTCAAACAGAAAAAAATATAGAAAACCTCCATATACACAATCCTACACCCAGAGTTGACCAAGAGGAAGGAAAAACCCCATAAAGCATGGTCCAATTTATTCCAGCGGGGATAAGATAAATTTCTGATTCCCCAGAAGGCAACTGGATATTCCCTAGATCTACAATCTCTGGTGTTATTACCTATACATGTTAATATCCAGTTATATTGCTTTTAGGAATGCATCCAGCTCTTTCGTAGAGAAAAACCCATAAGGAACCCCAGAACCATTTCAAGAACCCCAGAGCCATTATGTTTGCACACTATATTTTATTTGCAATAACCCCCTGTTATTGGCAACATGAAACGGATGTTATTTGTTTGCATCAATATCCCCTAGAATACACTTACTGTATATACTTCTAAGGATTCAGATTTGGCCTGAGTAGCTTCCCATGCTGACATCACTAAATTATTTACAAACACAATTAGAGGATCACAGACTTTCATATGCAAATCATTCTGCTGGTATCTTATGTAAACCCCCCCCCCCCCATCCCCCACACAGGACAGTTCCTCGAAGCCCAAGCTGTATCTTTCAGAGACAAAACCAATCAAGTTATTGACTTTAAACTTTAATTGCTGTAAAAAAGTTCACATTATCATCAATTCAGAGAGGTTTTATTTTTCATGGATATGTTACTTTATCTCATGATAGCTTTTGCAACAAATTGTCCAGCAATTAAAAGTAAAATGTTGCAGTGGAATGCAATCAATATTTTCCAATAAGATATACATATTTAAAGCTGAAGTTTGGGTATGGCAATTATTACATAGTTATTCTGCTCCAGCTTGGACCAATGTAAGTTTGTATGTGCCTCACCTCTGGGATCTCAGTGGAAGCTGGAAATCCACTGTAGTAGACACTGCTACTACAATGATCTCCACTAGCTCCTGGGTCCTGTGCCATACACAGACACCATTCATAGAATACTTTGCATTTTCTCTGAATGCAATATGTTCTGTGATTGGAAAAGGTGAAGATTGTGATTTCACCATTCCACCTCTCCACCTTAACAAATCAGGGACCGGGAGCTAATGGAGATCACTGATGTATAGATGCCTACTACAGTGCTTTCCAACTTCCATGGGGATCTCACAGGTATGGCACATACATACTTACATTGGTCCAAGCTATGTAAAAATTGCCATACCTAAACATGATATAGGCCAGATTTCCACAGCCTCCTTCCCCTATGCTTCGGTGGAGGTAGGTCCTCTGATGTCATCAAAACCAATGCAGGACCATAGCCCTAGGTTGGATGTGAGGATACTGAGAAGGGAAGGGAAGTAGAGGAGGGAGCGTAAGGATCCTATGGATTATTTTATATATTATGAATTTTTATATTATACATGTTCACACTAGCAGTTGGGGGGCAGTAAAACCCTGCAATTGAGTCAGGCTTTTACTGCCTTTAGCTGCAGAGGCAGAGGCTGGGGGGTGCA